ATTGAAAAATTATTAACATAAATGTAAGATGTTGACTGATGTATGCACTAACAGCATCTGACTTTTAGCACTGGCCTTGATTACACAGGAGATGGAGCAGCCATTACAATTCAGAAAAAAAATAATAAATCATTGTCAAATTTTGTAGCAATTTGTTTCAAGCCCATATTTGAGTTGATAGCCTCCACATTTGTATGGTTAAGTCATTGTTGCTGTGTTTCCTCACTGTGACCCCGATAATTTTTTCTCCCTTCATTTGCGGGTCTTTAGGATGGTGTGAAGGTTCATTCCTGTACCCCTATACAGAATCACTCCCTCTAGCTGCCTTTTCTAGCACCATTACACTTAAAAAAAATAAAATGCACAAACAACAAGCAGTGACAGCGGCGACTCTTCAATTGTCCAGGATGAATCAGGGCAGCATGCTAAAGAAAGGTACGTGTAAATAGCTGGACATGGTACACAGGCCAAGCTCCAGCAGACTATATCCCTTTCTGAGCATTACTTTCCATCCCCCATCCAAAATACATGCATTAGAATGTAGTAAAACCTTCTAGAAACATCTCTTAGCCAACTGCAGACTTTTCTGTTGCCACACAAGTGCAAAAAAAGGGGCAGGATGTGAACCTGTATATTTTCAAAACTTCGTTTGGTGACAGAACACAAAAGGAAAAATTCCTACGTATACACATTAGGTCTGTCTCCACTTTTATAAAACAGGAATAAAATGGGAAAGTGCCATGTTTATAGTTCCTAATTGAAGTTTTAATGTCCTTTTGACACAAAAAGGTATATACATATCAGTTACGTAACCTTTTTTTTTCCCCAACTGGACAAGTGTCAAACCCTTTAGATTTATAGGGCAAAACAAGATTGGTCAGGAAAGAATTGTTCCTATAATTGGTAATCTGACACTCTGTCCTTTTGCCACTTAAAAAAGTCCTTTTTTTTCTTTTCAGTTTATTCAAGTTTGCCACTCTTCATGGTTGGTTTTTTTGTGTATTTTTTTTTATCTCGGATAAAAAAAATATTCAGACTTTTGTAATCTGTGTATGTTGATCTTCATCAAAAGGTTCATTCTCTGGATCAGAGTCAGTGGTGTCAGAATATCTATAATGATCAGGTTCATTGTCACTAACATCAGGTGTTACAGAAGTTGAACTGCTAGCCTCTGGATTTGATGGTTCTTCTACAGTTTTTGTGAAAAATAGCTTCACCTGGGAAAGGAAAAAGCAACATTTAAAAAGGGAACCTGGACTTTAACTGAGGACAGGTAACAATGCAATTTTTAACAGCAGGGCTACTTAGGCTACACTGAACCGTGTAAGTGCCTCTCTCTCTGCTCTGGAAGGAAGGAAAGCAAAAACACTTCTGAGGTTACTCAGCCTCTCACTGCCATCTCCAGCACAATGAACAACTGGCAAAACAGCAGGTTTTTCAAGCCCTGCTGAGGGCTATTCTGCATATCTGCATCAACCACTGGTACTCCTGGGTTACAGCAGTAGGACATGCCCCACTGAGCTTTTCCACCATCCTATCTGCTAGACCTCTGCAAGCACAAAGAGATTTATGGCAGTAAGAGTGCACAGGAATGAACAAAACACTAACTGGTGCCTTGCTTGTGTTGAAAGCCTGATCCAAGCAACATTCCAACAAGCAACTACGACCATCACCTTCAAACAAGCACTGGCAGCTATTGGGTCCAACTGGTATTTTTTGAGCAAGTTAGAAAATGTTAAAATTCTTTTAAAAACTCTTAAAAATGCCTTTTCTACTTTTAAGAACATGGCAATGGCTCAGCTCAGAGGTGAAGCTATTCCCTGAATTCCAGGAATTACCATGTACAGCTCAGAGCTCATGGCAACGCATTTGGTACAGGATAGATGCTCCCTGAGCCTCTGGGTCTCCCACCACCCACCTCTAATGGCTTTGATCAATACCTGAAACAACCCAAAGTCTTTACTCCCAGTCTCTCAGCATCTCCTGACTTCCCCCAAAGCAGAGAAGCTTAGAAAGCTAGAAGCTTTGCTAAGTGGTGGCAACATGAAAACATGAATGCAATCTCCACAGCAGATTCAGATGGTTCCTCCATAAGGCAAGACAGACAAATCAGATCACATCATGCAGCTTTTCAGCTTTGTTTACACATAACATATACTGACCTTGAAGTTTGGAGAGAAATATCTGTTGGCTTTGTCTTTATTTGCTTTGTCTAGATCGTTTTTTGTTAACGTAAGGATTAAATATTCCTTATCATTATCTGAGCGCTCTGTACTGAAAATACCATCAAGTTCCTGATCTGCAACTAGACTTCCATTTTCTACTTTGTCTGAATTTTCATCCAGTCCTATGAAGAATGTATTTACCCAAAAGTGAAACATTTTGTCCTGGAGGAGGAAGAACACAAAGAACAAGCTTGCTTTAGTATTCACTAGTGGCACATTAATTAGATTAATGTCATCATCTGGTCAAAAACACAGGGGTAGTATCAGACAAAACTTGTTTGGGCAGCAGAACATCACTGGTTACATTGCATGCAAAGACATTTTTGCCAGTTCTCCTAGACAATAGGCAAAACCCTACATTAATCAAACTCAATTTTAACCAATTAAGCTGTCAGAAAAGTCACTCCTTATCAAAAGTTGGTTTTAAAACAAGCTACTGTACCTACAAAAAAAAAAAAGACAGTAAAATAAATGTGTATAAAACTGGCAAACACGTGGCATAAAGAGATTTTTTTTGCTCATACCGTGCCAAGCAGTAGCCAAACCCAACAGACAACCTGTGCAGACCAGCTCAAGTGAGCAATTATTTATCAACAGAAACATTCTCCCCCACAGCTTCCTGCATAACAGAACACTCACTTTGATACAGAAGTAGGTGTAACAGAGCAAAACCACCCTGTAAATTCAAGACCCCTATCCTAGTGGATTCATCACTGCTTTATGGGGATGGTTTCTATCAGTCAGATGTTTGCTGACCAGTACTGCCAGAAAGTCAGACTCTGAAGGTGCCTGCTGGCCTACCCAACACAAGTTTTTAATGAGGAGATGAGGCACTGACAGCTTAAGCATATTCAGCTTCAGCAGAACTTGACAGATGGCCATCAACAGCTGGAGAGGTACAAGTTAGATTACCCACCATAACACTGCAACAAGTACACCTGTACAAAGGGGCAAAATATAAAGGTAATGGTGATTTTTACAAGTCACTGGACAACGGGCTAATCTCAGCCAGTATATTCCATGCTTCTCATGAGGAGCAGCAGGGTCATACAGGGTACCTATCTCCACATGTGCTACTGAACCAGCAGCAATGTTTTCCAGTCTTGGCACAACAATCTCTTAAGATGGCATGGTCAGGAACCTCACCTTTAAGCTCTCATGTCAGTAGCTCTATGGGATACCCTGGATACTCCTGGGACCCCCATCACTTGCCATACTTCTGTCAGTCAAGAGTTGATGTTTTCAAGATCAACTGCCATTAGCAAGTTGGTCCTGCTTTAGCACATGAAGCACTTCTTCTAAAGCTCTGAGCTACCTTTACTTCCTCTTTACAAAGGAAACCTCCTGTTTTACTCTGATTCACGTTTCTCAGGCAAAAGATCCAAAACTTAAAAGGCCAATCTTCCTACAACAGTCAGGATTTCTGCATTTCTGTTAAGGCTGCAAGGGTGACAAAGCTAGTACATACCAGAATCTGATATGCCTTGATAGCATACAAGACCAGAACACAAACAGAGCTAATTAGCATATTTTTGTTTACTAGAGAGATTTCATTCCAGTTTCTTACTGGAAAAGCCAGGTCCTGTCCCATCTTCCTAGCTGTTCACCTCTGTGGGTAAGCAGAGGTAGAACCCAAGTGGGCTCCGGTGTGTCTCCTGTGAGCAAACCTTCTGCTGAAAGCCATTCGGCACCAGCAAAATATCACATTTTCCTAGGTCAACGAGAAAGGGGCAGGGAAGTGCTGAACTACTACTTAACTCACATCCTTCTTCCTCACAGGTTCATAAAAACAGGTAAGCACACAAATACTGGGAATTGAGGATTGTCTGGTGAAATAACTTCTGCCTTCACCAAAGCTCAGTAGAATAATTTTCAGTATCTGAGGTAAAGCATATGAAACCACTTCCACCTTGGGTGTGTTCCTGTAAGCACCCAAAAGACCACCACAACCCGTAGGAAGCGAAAGGACAAAGACAAAACCCAAATAATTAAGTCAGAACACTCTGCTAGTTAGTTACCCACTTCAACACATGCCCCTCCAGTACCTTTGGGAATCAAGTTCATCTACCAGATTACCATACTGTAATCACAGTTGTCTTGGGAGACTAACAGATGTTTGCCTTTGCCACCAAGTCCTTTTGAGCCACTTTATCCATGAAGAAGCCTTGCTGAATCTGATCCATGCAAGGCAGCGGTTGGTAGGTTCTTTCCAGGCCCAATCTGCTCATACACTGAGCACCCTCTTCTTCACTAACACTCAGAAACAGTTTTTAAAATGCCAAGGCAAAAGGGTTTATTCTTCTGCAATGCTCCAATGAGTCACCACCCTGCCTGCTGATGCCTCATGAAGAAAGTGGCACCCACAAAGACACCTTCAGGGTAACCTAGTCCAGCATCCTCCTGTATCTAGATGAATCTCTCAAAAGATGAGATGTTACTCCCGACGAAGCAGAAGACCAGTTAAGTCAAAAAAATAACCAGTGGCATCACGTTTCCAGCTACAAAACAGGAGGGATTTGGAGTCCAGGTGCCATCTGCAATGAACAGGAAAATCAAGCCTGAGCTGATGTTTCCAGCACCCAACAGCTCTGTAAGAAGGTGGATATACCTCCTGCAGTCTCACCTCTGGTGAAGAGGCCATCCTTCCAGTGAGGTTTAGAGAAGAATGCATTTCCATCCCATGACCACAATTAAAGGGAGATCCCACACCTTGTAGCTAGCACAATGGTACTGCTATGCTTCATCCTTCTTCAGGACCACAAGGCAGAAGCAGCAAAGCACCTTGAGGCTGCTCCTCAGTGCTGCCCATGGCACCTCCAGAGAGGTCAGCAGAGGAGAGTACAAAGCTGGTGAACACGCTGCAGCAGATGGAAAAAGGCTTATACCAAGAGAGCTGAAGCAGATTTGGAGGAAAGCAGTGCCAGAGCAAACAAGGCCACTGTTTGTAAACCAATGCCAGCAGAAGCAGAAGGCATGGTCTTGTCATGCCTCACCTTGAACTTCATCTGGTGGAGCAGAACCAGAAAAGATTTACTTGACAATTAAGGGCCTGCCTGAACAAGCAACTGCAGGGACTCTGCTTTACTGACAGTCTGGAGAAGACAGATGATAAACTTCTCACTAGACATCTTTTAATCTGTTTTCCTTGGAATCAATCTGCAGAGGTCTTCAGGGACTCAAACTAAACAATGCAACTTGGCCAAGCTGGTCATTTATCCTTTTATCTCTCTCCAGCTTTTTAAAGCATCAAGTTATTTTCCTTCCTTTTCCCACTACACTAACTTAATTAGCTTAATAAACTAAGTTTGTGGGTACTGGAACATGGCACGGCCACTCAAATTAAGGGAAGACTTGGTCATGTTTTTTGGAATTAGTTCTTAAAAGCTGGTAATTATGCCACTGCTTTAACTGAAAATCAAAATTCAGGCAAAGTGAGGATTCAGCCAGATGCAGCTAAAGCATCAGGCTCCAAGCTACTTCATGGGAGACAACAAAGGAAGTTGACATAATATGGGCCAAGGACGGGAATTTTAAAAATCAAGGCATGAACTGAACTTGGGCTTTATATAGCAAATCAGATACCAGATCAAGTGCTCACAGGGACACAATCCAATGAATAGGCTTCTGAAAGCAACTATTAGCTTGAGGCTTTTTTTTCAATGTGTTTTGCTTCACTTCCAGTTACATCACAGACATCTGCCTTAAGTAGAAAAAAAATAAATGGCAGATGTTTCTTCCCATAACCAAATCTGCCTCATAAAATCTACAGTGCAGTATCAGACACTTGAGACAGAAGCTGATTTAATCACACTGTTCTGACATCCAATACTTACCCCTACCATGTGCAGTTCTCAGGCTGACAAAAATATACTTCGCTCTAGAGCCTGTAATTGCAGACTGAGATTCAAACCCAAGATCATTTAAGACATCAGCTATGAGTTCCCATATACTCCTAAAAGTTTAATTTTGCAGAGATATCTGCAGGTCTTTGTAATCACTTTGCAGCACCAGCTAAGGCTTTTGGAGATGCTATCCAGCAATGAGAAGATGGTGTTCCAAGATGTTCTCTACCAGCCTTACAGCCTTCCCATAGTCAGGGCTGATGGAATTTCTTTTATCCTTTTCAGATCAACAGACGAAGTCTTCTAACATTTTCAGAGCTCATTCTTCAGTGTTTGCTAAACAGTAATCCCCTCAAGTCCTCTTGAGCTGTGCAACAGAGCTTCTCATCTATCCAGACTCAAGAGATGAAATGGCCTACTCAACAGCTTGACCAGTGCTGGTCAGCACTGCCCACGCTAGAGTCAGGGCATAAACCACCAGTGACTCTTACCAACAATACCAAACCTGTCCACACCAACATTTCCCTCTCATCTATATTGGGAGAAGACTCCTGAAAAAGCTCTCCACCCTCAGGCTTTGCAAACAGGAAGATGATATCTTCTGCAATATTTTTAAACAGACTCTCACTGAACCAAGTTATATAACAAAACTCAGAAATACTTTAAAATGATCATGTCAGGATCAGTAACAAGAAGAAAAAGGCTTCAAAATGATCCATGGAAGCAAACCTAGAGAGACTACAAGCAGCAGCCTGAGATGAAACAAGCTACAAGCCAGAGAAACAAACAAAAAAAGCTCAGAAAACCTTAAAAATTGCTAATTTCTATCCACCAGAAATTCCTACATAACTGTTCTTGAACCTCCACTCATTTTGTTCTCCTATGAGCATGCATTTAATTCTTGAAAGGAAGGAGCTACATCATACAGAAGAAATAGACCAGGAACAAAGTAAACAACTTCATCAGAAAAGAAAGGACCAGAAGTTGTGAACTTACTGAGGCCAAGTGGCACAGATTATGGAAGAGCTGACATAGGGTAACTTCCTCAAAGCAGCTGCTCTCCTTCCAACGTCTCACTAGCAGCAATAACCCTTTGGCCAAGGTCAGCTCTCACTGGCCACTGAATTTGCTTAAGTTTTGCCATTAAAAAACAGGAGAGTTGACTGCTTTAAATTTCACATTCACACTGCAACATTAAGTGCTTAAAGTCATTTGCCATGCAAATTTCATTGGTTTCATGAACAATCATTTTATCCAAGAGCAGCTTGATCAAAGTTGAAGAGGACCCTCCATACTAGAGAGCTCTGCAGATAGTGCTGCTGTTCTCCAGAAGATTCAGAAATTTGAAAGCAAGTCGAGGTGAGCAAATGTGGAGCACTTCATCTGAGATCAGTGGTATCAAACACCAAACTAGACCCAGCAGGAAAACACAAGTTTCCTTTATCTCCAGAGATGACACATGGCCATTCTCCAGCCTGAGGCCTGGAAGGGATTGAGAATTACACTTTTAATTCATGTTATAAGGAGCTTTTGTTAGGTTTTTTACGGAAAGTTAAAACGCAGACTGGTAGATGTGATGCCTTTAAGTGCATGCAAGAAAACTTGTTTAGCAGCTACCTATAAATCTGCTAACAGAAAAGCTTGGAAGAGCAAGAACCAGTGACCAGCAACAGATCTGTCACTCCAGCTTTCATAAATACACGTGAATAAACCAGACCCTCTGAAAGATAAGATACTGTTACTCCTAATTATGCTGTTCCTTATTAATTACGTGATCACTGGTGGCGATTCCAAAATGCAACACGCTTCCACAGTGCAAGGCCCTCTCTTTTCAGGTTTTGAGTACAAACTAGAAAAGGAACGGGCACAGATGTGAACCCCTTGTACAAAGAAACGTAATCAACTCTGTGCCAAGGTAGGTTTTCTGCCACAAATACTCACCTGTGCCCTATTCCCATCTTAGTCAATTCATGTAACAAGTTGTCAAAAGGACCATGTGGAAGGATCTCCTCGAGTGCCAAAGCACATGTCAGAGATGGAACATTTCACCAATTCTCAACATAAAGACCTCAGCAATGGTTTCACAGAACAGGTTTAACCCCAGAGGATCCACAAACTCTGTCCCAGATGCCTTCAAGTCGTGTCTATATTTACAGTAGAGCTAACAGAGGTGGTGGTCTTACTAGAACTGGGTAACATCATAAAACTACCTTATTTTTACAGATCTTTGAGGCAGATATCAAGGCGGTTTCCTCACACAAGTTTTCCGCCTAGTGATGGGACAGTTTCTATCTCTCAGAAAAACTTACGTATGAAAAGAGCAGCTTTCACATCTCAGCATTTCTTGGCCCTAGCAGCCTAAAATCACTGAGAAAAGGAGCACCTCTGCACTACAACCCACAGAACCTGAACAGTCAGGGGACCTGATAAGGACAGGCAGAAATTACAAACGAAAAAATATCCGCCAACTACTCAGAAACTACAAAGAGATTCTTAAGAAATGAAACCATAGCTGATGTAACACTCTGAAATGAAACTAGAGTAACAGGCTCGCTGCATTTCTGGAGACAATACCAGACTCTCTTCAAGACAGAATTCACATTCCAGAAATGGTCTGTGATAATGAGGAGCTCTAGTTGATGCTGTCGCTGGATCTTGGTGCTCTCTCTACAGGTAAATCAAACACAGGAGTTTGTTCCTGGTGCTACAGAGCCAAGATCCAACATCTGAGCTCAGACATGGGAAGTACAGCACAATGTTTCCCACACAGTCCATTTGTAAACCATGTGTTACTGAAGACAGTCAAGAAACCACAAATTCACAGTTAAGATAGGACAGAGACTGGCTAAAACAGGCAGGACCTTGTCTCAGATGTTTGGGTTTTGTTTCATCTCCTCCCTGTATCCCTCATGTCTAGCCCACAGTACTTATCTGGGTGCTCCTTCTCAAAACTGGCTTCCCAAGCACTGCAGTATTAAATATTATTTTAATGTTGACTTAAAGTAGAATTTCTACTTTTAAAATGCTCTGCTTTCCAGTTCTCTCTACTGCATACAGCTGCATCGATCAAATCAAACATCTCATTAAAGAGGCAGAAGAAGATATTCCCATTAAGAAACTGTTTGAAAACTTATGCAGACAACAGAACACAACATTTTCAGCTAGTAAAATTTCACCATTAAACTAATTAACAATACCTTGTAACTGAACAAGCCCACAAAACAGTGTGCTTGTGTATTTACACACACATCTGGTAGGTACAATCTGCGTGCAGTTATAAGAGACTGTGTTCTCATCACTCCCAACCCACTCTAGTATTTTTTCATTTTAATGCTTTGCCTGTAACACAGGATTCATTCAATGAATGCTCTCAAGTTTTATAACATTCATTAAATATTGAACAACTACTCATAAAGAATTTTAAGCAGTAAATACAAAGGTAACTGAATCAACATGTTCTCAACCTCACCCTTCCCTTGGGTAGGTACAAACTAGCTCCACAAGCATCAGAACTCACGAAACCCAGTGATGAAGAATCCACCTTTAAGATCTTACTGGCTTGGGTGTCAAAAGAAGTTCTAGATTAATTTTTTCCACAACTGTGACACTGATAAAATTCTCAGCTCTGAGGGAAGTCTCTGTCTAACATCAAGGCAGTGCAGCTGGGAACCAAGAGATGGCTGAAGAGATTGCAGAGGTACTTTTACAAAGTGCGTATGGACATAATTATCTTGGAAATGCAACAAAATTTGAGAGAAATGAGACAACAGCCCACAGACAGATCTTTTGTGCCTGCTCAAACCTTTGGAAAATGTATCAGAGAAAACAGTTGGAGTTAACTTGCTCAGTATGCAAGTCTATTTTTAGAACCAGAAGGTTTCTTCCTCAATTAGATTACTCACTACTACCCAAACGATTGCAATACACATCCAGTATGATTTCTATCCAACCTTTGTACTTAATCTCACCAACTCTCAAATTATCCAGCTTTCATTTTGTGGTAGAGTCTCTCTCCTTGGGAAAACCAGACATCAAAGAATTAAAGGTTGTGATTACAAATCACTGAAGAACAACTGATAGCCTTGACAACATTTTCTAGGAAAGTGAAAAAAAAAAAATGACAACCAACCTTTTTCAACATCTTGTTCTGTTTGTGGAAAAATTCCACTTTGATATCACCACATACTGGCAAAGGCTGAGGGAATTCAAAGTACATATACTTGTCTTCACGTCTTGAGGGTCCTGAAGGGGAGGTGAATATCTTGACTTTTAGCTGGTACACCACAAACTGAGGATCTGCATGGCAAAACAGAGCATGGCTTTGCAAGAAATGCCTCGAGGTGTCAAAAAGCACAATGTTAGTATCAGAAACACAATCATGAGCTATGATTACTTTGAAAGTTAAATACGTATCTATTAAGAGTTAAACATGGCAGGACAAACTTCACTAGGTGTTACTGGAAACAACCTCACAGATTCCTGTCCTTTGTAGGAATACTTTCAGACAACCACAGCATTCCTATAGAGTTTCTCTTTCTTTTTTGTATTAGAAAAAATAACTTCTTGACTCTTCCTTGTGTACTGCCTCTCATCTCTGTATTATATGGACATAACTGGGGGGTTTTATTCTTGCTCATTTCTTCTTGGCAGAATGAGAGGGCATGTCAGCACAAAGTGAATTCCTACTCTTACAGAACTGTTAAACAAACCAAAACAAGGACAAAATTAACATTCATTCACAAACCGACCAGCACCACCAGACCATGCAGACACAGACTGGGAGGCTACCCTGTAAAACACCATCAGCAGAAAAGGGCCAGCCATGGTGTAACTTTCCAAGTTAAATCTGCAGGATAACAGCTGAAGTTATGAGGGGCTTTTAGTGAAGCCTAAGCAGAATTTTTCCAGAAATATTAAACTTATTTGTAGAAGTCTTTCTGCATATGCTCCTTATTTCTCTGTCGGTATCAGATGCAGACTGCTCTCTACCATACCCTGAAAGCACTCCTCACCAACCACCATCCTCACCAAGCACTGTCCCCACCAAACCCACCCACACTATCTTGCTGAATAGCCTGGCTATAAAACTGCTACTCATCTTCAAAACTTCAGAGTCATAAAACCCTGCTGGGTCAGTGACTTGAGAACAGAGGGAAGATAACAAGAAAGTCAGACTTAAAAGTTACGTGTTGGTAAAATGACTACCATTGCATATAACAAGACTGAAGAAATAACACAGGCCATTGCTTTCATGTTCTGAAACCCCCAAAATGTAAAATATTGCAGTCCACAAAGATGCTGAACTTGGTAGTTACTCTGTCTTCTCAGGTGCTTAGCAGATCTGTTGTTTATCCCACCATCCTACTGTGAAAGCAGCATGCTAACAGCCTGGCATGGACAAACAAGCTAATGCCCTCATGAGCAATCCGTGCCTGTAGCCTGATTTCACAAGGACAGCACAGTTTATCCAGAACATTAAATACGTGGTAATTGCAGAAATCTGTAACCTCCACACCTCTACCCTAGAGGCAGGGGTTTTTTGGCAGAGGCTCCTCCTCTCCTCCTCCTCTTGTAAACACAGCTAGCCTGACAGGTTGCATGATTGTTTCTTATGTGCATTACATGTTCAGGTACTGTTATAACAATATTGATAGTGCATTTTAAATCAAAGCCACAGGAGGCACTGAAATTAATGACACATTGCAGTAATCCCCATAGCAAAGACTTCCTCCACTAAAAAAAAAACAAAACACCACAACACCAGGCAGTTCCTGCCCTGCAACATAGCCCATAGGAGGAGAGAAGTGAATTCATATTTACACTTCAAAATTTCAAGGAATCTGCTGGTTCTTACTCATACTGTGTACCAGCAAACCAGACTAATCATTTACAGGTGTATTAACACTTTGTAAGCCTCCAATTAACAAAAAGTTTCTTCCAGAGCCAATGAGATATTTACCAAGTTGAATCATTCTTTTTAAAAGAAAAAAACATTATGGGAAGTATGATGTTGCTGCATTTGAAGCCAACATGTCATTAAGCAAATGTTTTTTGGCAATTCATGTTTCCCAAGAGTTGCTGTATTAAGAAGAAAAAAAAAAAAAAGCTTTTAATGAAACTAAGGAGCAAGTATCCAAATATATATTTATATATGGCATCACTTAGGTCAAACTGTTAACAATTCCCAATTTATATCAGTGAAACAGCTCTACAAGTTCTTCACAGACCTTAACTTACTACACCTGGGAGGATGCTAGTGGTCAGACCAGATTTTGGAAGGTCAAGTGTTTAATCATGATCTTCTCCTCCCTCAAGATGTGCAGCTCTTTGTGTCACATAACAGAATGGTACCAGTGACATTAGAAACCAAGTCCCAGAGTGCCCCCTTAGGAGAGCTAGGGGAGGTTAGGGATGTGCTGGGTACTTACTGCAAGTTCCGCCGCTGAACATGGGAATTGTTTCAAACATCATCTTGTGGAACAGCAGTGCCACCGGTCTGTAATCCAGGTGATTCTTTAGCAGGTAGCTATAGTAGTACACGTAGCGTCTCTGGCTGGGAATTGTCACTCCCTAAACCAAGGAAAACAAACACCAAAACCCATCAAGCCCGTTTATTAGCACCACTCCCAGAGCTCCTGTCCCTTAGATCTGAATATAGACAGAGCCAAGCAGAAGGGTTTTAGCGCAGTGACTCATGATGACCCTCAGCCATTTCTACATTGTGGAACATCCTGGATACCCTAAGGACTAGCAAAGACATAACCCACCTACAAACCATCCCTAAAGTCAGCCTCTGTACACAGTCCCCTTTTCACAGAGTCACAGAGTGGTGGGGTTGGAAGGGACCTCTGGAGATCATCCAGTCCAACCCCATCTGCCACAGCAGGTTCACCTAGAGTAGGCTGCACAGGATGTTGTCCAGGCAGGTTTGGAATGTGTCCAGAAGTGGAGGCTCCACAACCTCTGGGCAGCCTGTCCCAGGGCTCTGTCACTTGTCACAGTAAGTTTCTTCTTTTGTTTAACTGGAACCTCCTGTGCTCCAGCTTGTGACCACTGCCCCTTGTCCTACCACTGCACACCACTGACAAGAGTCTGGTCCCATCCTTCTGACACCCACCCTTTAGACACCTCCTGACACCCTTCCCTGGACAAGTATTCACACCTCTTGCACTCATCCAGCAGAGCATTTAAGAGGAAGCTGATTGCACACATTAACAGCAGGCAATTAATTCATTACCAACCAGTCCCCAGCACAGAAAAAGCAGGACACTAGTTTTCCAGTTACTTCAGTTCATATTTCCAAACATCTATCTCAAACAATAAGGCAAAGACTGTAGACCTAAGGGTCACTTAAAGATGATTTCATGCTGCTGCTTTTGGTTTTTTTGGGGTGGGAAGTTTCAGACATTAAGCAGGAGACACCTTGAACACAGGAATTTTTAGCACTATCACAAGTTACACTTTGACAGCTGTTTAAGAGGAAAGACTCTAATTTTGTTTGCTAGTACCACTGTATTCAAGACTGATGATACCTTTTAATACAGAATGCCTTTCTGAAATGTCTTCTCAAAAACCAAAGGTGGAAATTAATAAGCCCAATAGCTGAAATTGTGAAATGAAGGACTTCTCAGAGGAATTATAACTCCAAAGTAAACACTTGCTTTGAGAACATACAACTAAAAACCATTTTTATTACTAAGTAAGGGAGTAGCTTTAAAGCTCTTACAGCTAATAGTTTCAAGCAAAAGTGATAAAGATGAAAAGTAATTTAACTCCCTAGAAAATGCATTACATGGTTCATAACAACCCACACTATGTACTTGCAGCATCATCAGGAAGTAAACTTTCATATTAAAACTAAACGTGAAACTGCAATAAACCAGAGGTAACTAAAGGTTTTCATGTAGAAATCTATGAGTATTTTGGTCCCAAAACCTAGAACACAGCATTGCTATAAACTTAGTTGTAATAGCTGCTTCACTTTGCACCAGCCATAAGCTGAGTGGCTACAGTAATGTTAATTGAATCTATTCTGCACACATGAAAGTCAGCTCTGCAGTGTCTGATCCCCCACTACCTTTCCCAGGAGAACAGCACGTTAACAGACTCTCTAGGAACTGTCAGCCTCATCTACCACAACTCTCACTTGATATTGCAAAGGCCTCTGTGAAGCTTCTGCTCCCAGCAGACACATGGGGAGAGCTCGATACACAACTACTCGAGGTTGTTCCCTTGACCTTGCAATTAGACTCATGCTTCCTGTCAGCATGAACTAACCCTCTTGGGACTCACCCTGCCAGGCATATTAATGGCAACAGTGACTTCAGCCATACTCATCTATATACAGCTGTATACAAAACTCTGCAGCTTATGCTTGCTTTAAACAAAGAAAATGTGGGACCTAATTAAAGCCAATTTTCCTTCATCATACATATTTTGGTCCGGAGGGGGGTGTGGGTGTGTGTAAAGGCATTTTCTTGTCCCTAGGTGCAAAGAGCTTTTTGATGCCTCATGTACTTTGAGTTCAGGAAGTCAGTTATGTAAAGGTGTGGGGAAGTGTCAAATCAGAGAGCACCACTTGAGATACAACACTGAAATATTTGTCGCAAGGGAAGAAAGAGCTCGCAGAACCTGCACTGACATACCTGTTTATAAACACTACTTTAAGGATTATATGAAGCACGTGATGCCCACTGTCCACATAAAGATAACCACACAAGTGGAGCTGGAGAAACAAAAATCAACTCTTCCAGGAGAAACACCAAAACAAAGTCACTGGTTACAGACAATATTTACAGGGAAGCTAAACAAGGCTCTCGCTATTCCTGCTTACTAAGTTCTCCCTTACCTCTAACATGCCAGAGGTAGCATGGATGAACACCTGACTGACCTTACCCTCCACACACCAACTTGCAGATATACATACCACCCTCTTCTTAAAAAAGGGAAGCTGAGCCACGACATGCTTGCTATTTCTTGATTTTTGTAGTTTTAATGCTATTTTCTGTGGCTCTTTTGATCATCTCGATCAGCAGGAGCAATCTACAACTGTTTACTCATCACACAGCTTGTTCCTATTCACTATCCTATACTCTTCCCAAAAGCCACAGAGCTTTGATGGGAAACCTTGTCTTGCTCTAGTTTGACATCACAACTATCCTCTCAGCTGCACATGGAGTAACAGCTCCATGTAAAGAGAGCAAACTAAGTTACTTCCAATAAATTAACAGCCACATTCTAACATTCCTTATGTGCCACTTCTGCTCTCAAGAGCCTGCAAATGTGAAGCTCTGCTTATTAGAGGTCTACACACTGTGAAATTAATACTTCATGCAAATATTAGAGAAACACAGAGACCTCTGTACTTGAGTAGGCTGAAAATGGCCTGCCAGGATGATCCCCCTGGGCTGCTCTACCAACATACACAAAGAAATAATGAAGGATGAGCAGGGAACCTTGCTGAAGTGACCTTGCCAGGTCCTACATACAATTACTGCTAAGTCTGTCTACACCACTGACAAGGTCTTAACAGAAAGCTCTTGTAGCCATGAACATAACTTCTCTGAAATGAGATTTTCCCGTTCCCACAAGAAACTAAATGGCAGGCTCTGAGTTGCCAACATCTGGGCTTAACTACCTGTTTATTGGAAAGGGGCATCCAACAACAGACTCTTCCAGCATACATTTCCAGTAGGGACATTCAACAATAATATATATTGTCATGACTACACACCTCCAACCACCACCACAGCAGTTAAAATTACCTGAAGAGATGAACAACTCACCAATTCAGGCAAAACAAGCTAGAACAATCTTCTCATTTGGGCTGAACATGCTGAACAAGAAAGATCACTCACCAACCACCCATTTGATGCAACGAACAGCAGAATGCTATTTGAAAGCCTATTTTAAATAAACTGTCCAGATCTTCTTGAACAGGAGATGGAAAAACCAGACTAGTTTAGTTGTGAATAATTGCTACTGCTGTTTATCATTCAGAACAGCACCAATCCAATAATCTTAAAACCAGATATCACAACTGATGGAAACTGTTTCTTAAAGACACTGACTATGCAAACAGACCTCCAGCAGGAAAAGCATAAAGACATGGGTAGGAGAACAGAAAATAGCTCACCTTCTTGTCTCTGGTCCTTACTTCCCCATAGAAATCCAGGGCTTCTTGAGCCTTTAAAAACTTGCCTCGATGCAACAAATATGCACATATCATTACACCAGTTCGTCCCTTTCCAGCTTTACAGTGGATTGCTGCAACATGATTGTCATCTTCACTTAGCCATTGGTCAAGATCTTCACAAAAAGGTTTGATAAGCTCTAGCTGTGGTGGGTTATGGTCTTCAAAAGGGTACTGTGCAACTGCAACCAGAGGTAGTCATGTATCAAAAGATCAAAAGGAAACAACACCAAGCTCAAATAGACAGGTCAACTTTGTGACAAGCACGCAAGAAATTAAAATGTTAAATAAAGCCCTGTCTTACATGTAGATATGTATATTTTTTCATTCCAGTATCATTCAGCAATACACTGCATATTATATGCATTGCAGACACATCTCTAGCAATACACAGGCAACCAGCCTGCTACATGAACAGACCATTTCACACCACTACTGAAATGAATGGCACATCTTCCACCATAAATTTTCTAGAATTTAAGAGTACATTGGCACAAAGAATAACCTTGTGAAAACCCATTACTCTGTGAGTAATTAAGACTACCTGCTGTGAGAAAACAGAGCCAGACCTCAGTCACTGATCAGACAATGCTGAAAAATTCTGAGCACGGTTGCTGCTGTGTTGGGAACAAACCTCAGAGTTTGCTCAAATGTGGTTTTGGAACTAAAACCTTCAATTTCCATATTAAGAAGATGGTAATCAAAAAAGAAATCTAATGGAAAGCACTTGGAATACTTATGGATTTTTAAGTCAAGCCACTGAAATAAGTCCTTTTTCTTATATGGATATATACACATACTTTTTTCCATCTAGAGATGGAAAGAATTTCAAGTGAGCATGCAGGAAATGAAAGAAATCTGAAGGTAGCAAAAAATAAGCAATAAGCAGAGACAAGCACCCAAAGTTCTAACACCTCAGAGAAGGTGACAGACAATGCTGACTGGCAATCCCATGCTGACTGGCAGAATTCCATTGGGCTGCACTAGTTTCATCAGGAGAATGGCATTTTATAAATTGCACCCCAATTCTCCATTGACAGACAGTCTTGGGATCTTAGAAATACCTGGATCACTGAAACATTCTCATCTAGAAACACCATTTCCTTTTCTGGTCTAAAAATGAATACATTTCTTTTTTGGCAAGTGTTTGTATTTGTTTCATAAGTACTACTCTCTTGTCACACACACACATGAGGCTCCTTTTCAGGGATCCCCAGGGACTTAGAGCAGAAGTGAGTGATGAAGCCATGGAACTGCTGAATTACTGCAGCACAAGTCCAAAGCCTTTTGGAGGGATCCACAAGGACAGTTCACTCACAGGACACACCACCCACTTAATCACCCCGAAGACCAGAAGATAGGGAAGCCTGATAAGGTGAATAATCTTTGCTAAAGAAGCAGCAAAGGTTAACAAGCATGAACACACACTAACGAATTCTTCCAAGTGGAAGACCCAAAGATGATCTCTTTATGCAAACTTCGAGATGTCACTTTTTGCAGCAGATGTAAATGAAAGAAGGAATTTATTTAGAAACCCCTAAGAAAAGAGGCTGTTATGAGAAGCTGCAAATATGTCCATGTAACATTGACTCTGTATCTTAACTACATCCAGCCAGGTTCCCATGAAAAGGAGAGACAAAGCAGTCCTGAAAGAACAGCGTGAAAAATCCTAACTAGTAACAGTATGCTGAAGATGCTAAGATTTGGGATCAAAGGCAAACCTTGCAGTATTTTCTTCCAAGATGGAATGAGCAGCAGACGAAATGATGGTGCAGAGGGATTAAGAGTCAAAAGCAACCTTAGGAAACATTCTGCTGCACAATCTTGAGCAGGTCCTTGAGAGAGTGCAGGTCTTCTGTGGGTTTTGGTTCCTAATGCTGGAGCACACAGCTTGGAGAAGCTCTCCAAGCTCTCAGACATTGCAAGAGAAAACCCATAGCACAAACAGGAGTGAAAAAATATTAAAAGGAAACCCTGTAGCAAAGCAGAAAGCAATTTCCAGCATGGAAGTATCTTGGAAACTGAAAAAATCCTAGACAGAAAGCTAGTGTCCAACAGAGATGCAGAGCATTTAAGGTTTGGTTCTGAATTTTATGCAAGAGCATTCAAGTTGAGTAATGAACTACTATCATGTTTCATGCTAAGTGTACAAATAAGAAGTTTCCTTTGAAATTAATTCACTTCCTTGACTAAAGCAAGTCCTGACTTGCCTATTTGGTTATCTAAGGTAACTAACTTGGGGATGGAAAGAAAAAATGCAACATGTGGCTTCCTACAACAGTGTTGTCTTACGCAGAGGAGCTGTGAAAGGTGCTGTCACCAACAACATTTTGGGCTGCAACTGGCAGTGAAGGGATCTGAGCACCCATAATTAGAACTAAAAGCAAGCATATGTTCTGGACATATCAGAAGTACATCCTTTTCATTTATGCCTTTTCTTACCCAAAGTATTGCTCAAGCAGATGTTAAAATGCTTTTTTTTCTGGCTTGTAAGCACTGAGTGAGGCTTCTGGACACTGCCATTGAACATCATAAGAGCAAATCAGAGGCGAAGATGACTTCAACATGACAACTTCAGTCCTTCTATGTTCAGACATTAAAGCAGCCAATTACATTTTGATCATGTTCTAAACACCTTTTTTACAACTAGAAGGATGGTTTAAAATAATAAGTTAATCCCTTGCTATGACATAGTAGTAGACAGTGAGGCCAAAATTTATTCATCTACTATTACAGACACAGAAGTACTCCTCATCTACCCAGCCATTCTGAAGCACTGCATGAAGAGAAGGCCAAACTCTACTGCTGTGCAGAGATGTTCCTCTGCACCAAGAATAGAGGTCCATCTGTATTTATTTAATACCTAAGGAGTTAATATTGACCAAACAGTTACATCAGTTTCCACTCACTAAGAGTCTGATCAGGAGAAGCCCCTAAAAGCTTCTCCCCTGGTTCTGGCAGCTCAGAATATGTCTCATCTCAAAGTGACATCACATGGAAATTAAACTTCAGGGTTTTCAGCAACTAAAGATTTGTTCCAGGTCTTCAAAAAGTTGTTCTATATGAACAGTGACAGTGGCTTAAGTGTTCCTCATTTTTGTCCTAAGTGATGCTTCTACGTAAAACCCAGACTTCTCCAAGCTTCACATTAAAATTTTACATTAACTTTGTACAATGAATTGAACAGAAATTTCTATATAACCCATTCTGCAAAAATTTTTGCAACACTAGACTTCTGATTGCCTTGTTAGATCTTGATCCAGTTAAGTGTCAGAAACACACTTTTCTGAAGGCATCAGGAATACAGAAAGTTTCTCCATGACTTGAAGCAATCTGACATCATTCTTTGTGCCCAACTCTCCCACATCAGCTCCTCCTTTATACCTTTGTTCAGAAATACTGGTGTTTAAAAGGAAGACATCCTAGACAGCAACAACGTACCTCTGCAGTTAAATTTGGCGGTGTCATAATGTCTTTCAGCACATCTAAAAATGAAAAATAGACAAGAGTTCAAGACAAGACTCCGAGGCACTCCCAACATCTGTCACACCTTGGAACATACAGATTGACATATGGGAAAATCACATATACCCATCACTTTTATGATTTAAAACTACAGCTAGAGTTAACATGCAGGAAAACTGTTTTGTTGCAGCTGTAAAAAGTTGCTCACTAAAATTTCAGTTATTTTACTGAAAAACAATTACTTACCCTACAGTAGTTGTAGTCCATGAGTATGTTTTAGCATCACTCTCAGTGGAGACATTCAGGCAAGTAATGCAATACACTATTATTTTGTAACACTGTGGCATTAACAGCTCCAGCTGCTGGAGCAGCTTTATGCTCCCACACAAGCACTACAAGCTATGACCTTTACCCAGTTGACTCTGACCTCAAAACACATGGTAAGATGCCTCAATGCTCACACAGGTACTCAGGGTGGTGGGGATCACAAGGACATTTTAAAGACCCTCAGCTAGTGCAATCTAAGCAAGCTTGTCCTCCAGCTGCAAGATCACCACATGCAACTGAAAGCACCACTGAGTATTATCTTAGTGATTACTTGTATCAAGCAGATTGTGACAGTGCTCTCCAACTTGGCATTTGTTCTTGAAATTAAACTCAAAATAACCAAAAGGTCAGACAGCCAGTTTTCCCACACACAGACCCTGGAAAATAACACATTTCTGAAGACTTTGGAGTTGCATTCATGTCCATCTCAACTCTCTCTCTATATCATTACAACAGCTAGGAGCACTGCAAACCACACTGTACTAGTCTTGCAGGATTACTTGGCTTGGGACAAACCCCAGTAACTAGATAGACATGATCCCATCAGCAGGGCTCCAATACAGCCAAAATGGCATGCTGGAAGGGAGCAGGCTAGCTCAGATGTTGGGGGTAAGAGGAAAGAAGGCAAGTGCATACCCTCTAATTTTCGTGGCAGCTGCTCTCCACAGCCAAAATGATTTGACCCTGCACACTGCAAGCAAAAATGCAGCTCAGAGAGGAAACGGAAACCAACCCTGTCTAGAAACAAGACAACTCCAGGTTGAAACACAACGACTGGGAGCCATTTAGGTAGAAAAAACCCACCTAGACCTTCAGTTCTGATTATAAGTTGTACGCTTGGTAGGGTTCGAGTACCCACACTGGTTTCAGGACAGGTCTGAACTCCTGTTTCCTTAACAGGTAGGCGACAACTGTCACCTCTGGAGCCATACTTTGAGGCTGACCTGACACCTTCAGACACAGAACTTTTAGGCTCCCACCTGTGTGACTGCTGCATAAAACTGGAGCTTCTCATGTGCTGTGCTGAGCTCTGCCCACGAAGCTCACACAGCAGGGACAGAGGCAGGTCTGCTGGGGTTGCACACACTCAGCGCTTCCCTTTCTCTCAATTCCAGAGCCTTCTCCACTCTAGCCTCTGCTAGGGAAGTCTGGCAGTTTTAACAGCTCTGATCACACTGCTTACACTTTCTCTAGGTCAGAACGATACAGCAAAGGTTGAGTTAGCAGATGGGACTCAAACACACGTTATCTGCACTCAAGCCATGGAGAAAGGTTAGATGCAGTATGGCCCCAAGATGCCTGGAAAGGCCATCAGCTGTGCTGGGGAAAGCCTGTTCCCCGGCAGTCAGCATCTACTAGGAAGCAAAGCAATTAACACAAAGCATCTTACCCAGAAAGCTTCCTTCTTCCTTTTAAAGGAACACCAAGTTCAAAGGTGTAGTAAGAGATTAAAGTCTTCAAAACATTAAAAAAAACCACATATGGGCAAAAAAGCCTTCAAATGTTGAAGTCCGAGGGAGTATCAAGTATCATATGGGACAAAAATTAGTTTTCTTGATACCAAGGATAATAACTGAGCACAGGGAACTCGTTAAGGGAGGACAGTTAACAGAAATATACTGAAGACAGGATAACAGCAAGGGAGGCAATAATTTGGCAGTATGTGAAGTTAGGAGACAGAAGCAGGAGAACATGTTAAAATACAGAGGAATACTGAAGTAGTAGCAAAGGGTTAAAGGAACACATGAGAAAACCAACAAACAAGAAGCAAAATGAAATTCATTGCTCATTCACTGGAAAGTTAAAAGCCAGAATGGGAGGATGAGGCATAACTGACACCATTTAAGCATCAGATCAGAAAAATATCTCTGAATCTTTTTAAATAGAACTGCTCAATACACACATTATTTTTAACTTAATGTAACAGCTACCTTAAGGGAACTCAAACCCCATGACAGTGTTTGAAATAATTCTGAATATAATCACATAGGTCCTCTGAACTCCCACCTCCTTCTTTTAAACACAGACAAAAGGCTGGTTATTTACAAAGGACCAGCTTAATCTAAGGAAATGCTGTTCTCCAAAATACCTGAGGGCTGCAATTTCTTCCCATCTCATGACCAAACATTGCAACAATTCACCTCATAATACCGTGTACTTAATGTAGAAATTTTGCTTGCCTAAAGACAAAGAGAGAACCTGGTGTCTCTAGCCAGGGATATACAGATTAAAAGCTAAGCTTTCCAAGCTGTGCAGTAATGACTTGAAACTTCATTAGCAACTGATCTATCTTTCAGGAAGAAAATCCACGCAGTTGAAAAGGACATTTTATCCTGCTAACATTTTCATCCGAGGGTGAATTTTAGCAAGTTTCACTTGTGATTGTTTTGCAGCCAGGAACTAGGAAAATCAATGGGGGGTTCTTGCCCTGAAAACTGAAAAATTAGATCTTTATATGAAGGACTTGAAGACAGAAACCCTTTGGCACACCTTAGCAAGTTCTTTCCACAGTTGGAAACGCATGTATCAGCAATTTAAATGTCAGAAAGCATTTGTCTCATCACAGCTCTTCTCACTTAAAAATCTGACAGTTGTTCCTGAGTAGGGCTGTGGGATTGGCTTTGGCTTTTTGCTAAAGATGAGGTCTCCAGCATACAGCAAAGGGGAAACTTCTCAAGCATCACCTCCCACAGGAGCTACTTGCTGAGATGCACAGAAGTCTTACTAATCTCTTACTTTCTGACCAAACCTAGAAGTTAACACACAGCAGCCCTTTGTTCTACCTGTCACCTCTCGAGCCAATTCAACGCAAGCTGCTCTGCAAGCCCTGATCCTGTAAGTGATACCAAAGCCACACTTGGCAGAAGCTGATAGCTGAACTCTGCCCCGAGAAGCAGGAGGAAATTCACTTATATCTGTCCTGCTCTGTTTTGCTCCTCAAACCAAGCAGAAGCTCCCAGAGGCTGCTAATACAACCACAGTAGTTAGATTTTACACAATACAGCTCTCTAGGGCTGAGCTCCAGGCTTCAAAGGAAGATATGCAGAGTTACCTCTTTAGAGAGCTGCACTACAGGCAGAAGGAGCCATCAGCTATTCTGGGAAGCATCGTCGTTCCCACCCCTAAGGGCCACCAAACCAGTATTTATTAAAAGGTTAACATTCTGGAGAGCTAAGCTGGAGAAAAAAAAAATTGTAATTGAACTGTATGACAGGTGTCCAATGATTTTATTTTAATGCCTAATTTATTTGCAGATCTTTTTCTGTCCCATCCTACCCCAGGCTTTACAGGCAATTAAATACAATAACTAGTATACAACACTTCTCAGCTTCTAGTATAATTTAGTTCCAAGTTCAAGAAACAGAGCTGCTTGATGCATAATCCTTCAACTAATCCAGAGACTTATTTAGATACTTATTTTTAATGAACGACAGATTACAATGTAATACATTGCTTGGATTTCCATACTAAAGTCATTTTTCCATTAATTGCAGATACTTAGAAACTTACTAATTTAAAAAAAGCCTTAACATATAAGAGAATCAACAGATCTTCAACTTCAGTTCCTGGAAAAAAGTGAGGGGGAGGAAAACCAGGACCTGCTTTCCAACATCAGCTGACATCACCACATCATTTTTACAACTGAAATTAGCCTGAGCTAATCTATAAAGATGATCAATGAACAAAACAAAATCCTTTCTGTAACATGAACAGCTTTACACTTACAAAAGTGAGAAGCAATCACCAATTGATGCAATCCCTTTTTCAAAGTAATAAAGAGGAACAATCAGGAATAGTGAAGAAGTAAACAGAGCCTGGGTACCAACACAGCTCAATGAAAAAACGGGATTATCAAAAGTGTGTCAAAATGAGTTTAAATCATTCATAGGAGTTAAAACTAAAAGGGAACTTAAATATGTTTTAAACTAAAGCAAATTATTTAGAAGATGGTAAACAGAGTAGGAAGAAGAGAGGCCAAAAAAAATCCCCAAACTTACCAAGTGGATTAAATTGAAAAACTAGTAATGAAAAAACGGGAAAAAAAAAAAAAAAAAGGTAAAAACCCCAGGAAAATAATCATTTGGCAATGTCTTCACTGTGGACATTAATACATTAACAGAAAGCCTGCTGTGAATTACTTTTCACTTTTTAATCACATGGTACAAGCTCCAGATGGGCTAGATGCCAAGTCATTTAAAAGTGTTCAAGTAATACACCAGCATTTCTGTTAACCTAGCTCAGCTCCACTAAATGAAGTAACAGTGCCCTCCATCAGGCTTAATTGTTTTAAGAAATGTGCAAAACATCTCTAGCTCTGCTTCAGTACAGCAACAAGCTACTTTCAATCATAAGCTATTTTTAGAACTCAATATTTAGGAAAAACACATCTATAAGGGCATACTTACAGATTGTATATCTTGTAATGGTTTTTATGCTTTGAATCCAAAAACCTTGAGTAGAAGGGGGAAAAAAAAGACATGTATTAATATCCATTGTGGGAGCAGTGACCTTAATTTGCAGAATCTTTAGAAGCACGATCTAGCATGTTCAGTTCTGCACTGCAAGTCCCAGCTGGCCCTGCAGTGCCTCAAAGCCAAGGAGACAGCATCTTGCAAACCTCACTCACACAAATAACCCACTAGTATGAATAAGACTACTTGGCAACTGAAGAGACCAAGATCCAACCTGCAACTGAAATAGTTATTGCATGGATCCATCCGCACTGATTTCTAAGACAGCTGCACATCAAAATATTGTTTATTTTTAAAGCAGAAACCACCAATTACACAGGGTATCTGGAAACACTTGCCATTTCATCATCTTTGCAAAATATTTTGCCACAGAGGTATTTCCAGCAATAAGAAGGCAGTTAAAATAACTTTCGTATTCCAGTTAGAATAGCCATGACAATTTACTTTACTACCAGGTTCTTCAAATGGCCATTATTTGCCACTGGAGTCTGAGGACGGTGGCTGATCATACTCTGGGTTCAGAAAGGAGGAGAAAGACCACTCCACTCCTTCACACTCGCTTCATTTTCATGCTCACTTTGAAACAAAAACTTCCCATGCAAGCCTCTGAGAGCCAAACTGCAAACATGATTCATCAAAATTGCTATGATTATATATGATGTGTCACCTGGCAATGTTCAAGAAGAAATAACATACAAATGTTTACACTTAACATCATCAACAGTGTGTATCTGCACATCAGCCAGAAGGAATTTAATTAGCCATGACAGAACATGCTGTTCAAATTGAAAAGAAACACTAGCTGCTAAAATCCTGGAAAGCTCAAGCAAAAACAAGCTCTGGTTATCAGTCATAATATTCCAGAAGAACCTAGAACAACTCTGGTTACAGTGATGCGTTAAAAGTAAGAACAGATGTGAATGCTCCTGGTGCAACAGTGAGTATGAAATTCCTATTTCATTGGCAAAAATATTCCATGACTCCCACTGGTGTCCTTATTGGCAGACTTCAAGAGATGAAGGAAGATGGTGGATATAACCATTTGCTTCAGGAGATGTCCCCCTGGTTGAAAACACCTTGGGGAGCAAGGAGAGGTGACTGCACTCCCACCAGTGACAGCCACAAGGCCAAGTATGAGCTTTTATCCAAGTATTTTTATAAGGACAAGATTCCATCCCAACCTTCTCAAAGCATCAGTCACAGGAGACAGCCAGCAGTCCAGCTCGTACTTCTCATACACTATTAGCATTACATTTATCAGCTATTCACCAAAGTTCACTGGTGTGTGCTGGCTCAGTATCAGTTGCCCCAGAGCTCAAACACATTGAATTTCTGCATAAAAAGCTCTTTAAAAAAAAATCCCCAATAAAAAGACAGGAGCAAATGAGGGCCTGGGGATTGCAATACGCAGAATGCTGCATGATCACTTTTTGTGCATTATTCTCTTGTAAAAATAGGGGGCAACAAATCTAACTACTTTAGCTCCAGTCACTGCATCTTCATTTGAGGTGATCACTACTCCATTTGATCAGTGTTTATGGATAACTTAAAAACTATAGCCATTCCCTTTACCTTTCTACATATAGCCAATAATCACAGAACCACAGAACTATTTGGGTTAGAAAGGACCTTTAAAGGTCATCTAATTCAACCTCCTGCAGTAAGCAGGGACATCTTTAACTAGATCAGGTTGCTTGGAAGCCCATCAAGCCTGACTTTAAATATCTCCAGGGATGGGGCACCTACCACCTCTCGGGCAACCTGGGCCAATGTCTCATCACCTTCACAGTAATGAACGTCTTCCTAATGTCTAAGCTAAATCTACCCTACTCTAGTTTATGAACACTGCCCCTTGTCCTCTCACTCCCTGCCCTTGTCCAAAGTTCCTCCCCAGCTTTCCTGTAGTTCCTTCAGGTACCAGAATGTGCTCCAAGGTCTTCCCGGAGACTTCTCTCCTCCAGCCTGAATGCCCCAACTCTTCAGAGCAGAGCTGCTCTAGCCCTCGGAACATTTTTGTGGCCCTTCTCTAGACCCACTCCAACAGATCCATGCCCTTCTTGTGTTGAGGGCTCCAGAGCTGGACACAATACAATTTTCCTTCAAACAGCAGCAACTGAAATGGATGCTGTGAATGGAAGAGGGCCTTCAAAGACTACTGCCTACTATTTTTATTTGGACTATTCCTGTGTCACTTACTCAAAGTCCAGCTTTGGCCCTATCCTACAATTTCTAAAGGTGTGCAGTCCATCAGGGACTAACTATTTCACATAGCAGATGCAATGCCCAGATCAACTTACTGAAAGGTGGCTCTGACTGCTGGCACAGAAAGATGGCTAGATAGTTGGAGTGTGTGGGCCAGCAAAAGCTGCTTCTTGTGTGCAAGGATACAATTAGAAACACAACTTCATGCCTCTAAATTTTTACCAGGGA